GAGATGCACTGCGTAACTCAATGATTTCTTTTCTAGGTTTTGAGGTACTGTACATTATTCCATCTTGTTAAATGTTTTCATTTTCAATGTCCATGACTGGATGACAGTTAGGTTATGTTAGTCCACTTCTTATCCAACCTTACACATTTGTCAGACGCCCATGAACATTGTTGTTTACATCATAGTCTCGTGCCAGTAGAAGACTGTTTGTCGCGTTTAGTGGCAGTGGCCTGTAATGGTGCAGGGATATTCGCAATTTTGTATCGACTGGTGAATCGACTAATGTATCGACTATCGTATCGACTATCGATGTCATGATCGATATTTAATATTTCTTTCAAGTTGCATCCCTGAATTTGACTTGAATCATATTATTTGGGTGGCTAGATTGACACTGCGCAGAGACGGAATTTGGTTTGTATTATTTTTTTTGAATAGATCACAAGTGCTCTGATTGACGGAAACTTGTTATTTGAGCAATTTCCGTTTATTCATCCTTCTTGCTGATTCCTTCTCTTGCGAAAAGGTTTCATGTGTTGAAGCAAAATGAAGCCCTTTTTGATTTTGACTCTCGTGCGAACAGGTCAGGTGGTAGACACCTACTTTTGTGTTAGGCCTTTCCGATAGGAAGGTAAGAAATATTAAATCTCTTTTTGTGTGGATGATATTCGATAGGGTATCTACATTTCAGATATCACGGCCTTATACAGGGGAGCAGGGGGTACAGACTGAGTGGATGATATGAACTCCATTTTCTGTTGACCACATGGCATGTTTCTGGACTTGAATTTTATCAATCAACACTGTTAACTGGATGGATCACTAAAAATCGAATCTTTCATCAACTATGGGCATTTAGAAATCTTGAACTGTTTTCTGGACTTCACTGTTTGGACATCACATGACATTTTCTTCCGATGGTTGAGGCACCTGAGGGATCTTCGTGCTTTGAAGCCTGAGTCACCAACACACTTGAAGGTGGAAGCAAGACCCTGGTGATTTCTTGTGTTTTGTCTCTGGGCATCTATAGGACCCGACAGCCTGGAATTTCTGGCAGAATCCTTGCTGCCGACAGTGCAAGTCCCTAGCAGCCCTTCTGGTTCAGATAGCCAGTGATCCTGACTTCTGACAGGAAGTCCAGGGGAGTCCAGACTCCCGGTATGGTTGATTGATCCTAAATCCCTAGGATTTTGTTACTTTGGAGCCTGAACTCCCAGAGCCCAGTCAGATAGTGAGACGTCCTGGTCCAGCTTGGATGATAGGAAGAGCTTGCCCTGGTGGCAGCCTGTGGACCCGTCAGCCAGAGTTGCAGTGCAGAATCCAGTTGCCCTGGGATACACCAAGTGCCCAGGTCTCCAGGTGGTTGTGAATCCTGTCAACTGTGTGGGGATCCAGTTTTCCTAGCACACCTAACCCCTACCGCCGACTGAGGGAGGAGTGTCTTTGTTCATCCAGGTAGTGAGATCTATTGGACCACAGTTGGAATCTCATGGTTCAAAATCCAGAACTTGCAGCTAAGGTCAGAATATTCCATATATACTTTTTTCCCTGTCTTGAGGACATTTCAATTGCATATTTTTTCCCTGTCTGAGGACATTTAACATGTACTTTTTTTTTCCCCTGTCTTGAAGACATTTAACATACATATTTTTTCACTGTCTGAGGACATTTAATCTACATATTTTTTTTCCCTGTCTGAGGACATTTAAATAGTTATTTTTCACTGTCTAATGTCATGAGATATTTGAACACTTGTCAATAACACATAACAGTCTAAGATCGGATTTTACATATTATAATAGAATTATTGGGTCTGTTAGAGACTCTGTGAACCCAAAGTATAGGCCTATATGAAGGGGAATCTACCCTTGTACTGAGTTACAATCATAGTACATATTTACCACCAATTTGAATACCTATTGTTGGCATGTTAAGGTGAATAAATCTGTTAACAGTTATTTTGGCTTATATTTATATCTTGGATTTTTTTCTCAGTAATTCAGCTGTGAAAACTGAGTGGCGCCTGACAAAAGGATAACCCCACTAGTTACCTATAAAAAAAACTAACTCACGACCTGCTCCCAAACAAACGAGCTGCCGTGCCTATAACAAGTAAAAATCTTTTTCTTTTCCAAAACATCAAAAGAGTTGTTATAATTTTTTGGATTCTTTGTCTTGTAGAGGCTGTATACAGTATCACAATAATTGAAAATTGATAATATCAATGAATCGCAAAGCATAATTTTAATTTCTAAATTGAGAATATGTCTCGAATTATACAAGAGTTTCAAATTAATGATGGCTTTTTTTATACAGGAAGATATATGGCTTTCGTATCTCATATCAGTATCAATTGTTAAGCCTAAAACTTTGGCCTCTTCCACCAATGGTATATTTACATTGTTGATCTCCACATGAACCAAATCAGATAGTTTCAGTCTATCAATTTGTCTTCCGAAAAACATTGCTGCACATTTTGTTGGATTCAAGTGTAGAGAGTGTTCTAGTGATATGCTATAAAGATTCTCAAGGTCATCATTAATGAGTTTACAACTTTGCTGAAGATCTTTTGGATCAAAGGTGAGCATTAATTGAGTATCATCAGCATACATCTGAACATGGGAATTCTGAATGTAACATGGAAATGAAGACGTGTATATGATGAACAGTATTGGTCCTAATATCGAACCCTGCGGTACGCCACTGGTATTGTATAGTGACTCAGAAATTTTATTATTGTATACCACTCTTTGACATCTGTTCTTCAAGTAATTTTCCAACAACTTTATCGCTTTGTGATCTAACCCAATAAATTTTAATATTTGTAATAAAGTATGATGCTGTATAGTATCAAATGCCTTTGAATAGTCTAACAACACCAATATTGAACATAGACCTGCATCTATTGAAGTTATGATATTGTCAGTTAAGTTAAGTAAAGAAGTTACACAACCATGTCCAGCCCTAAAACCAGATTGATGCTCAGGTATGATATCATTTAAATTGAGGTGATTCACTATTTGTTCTTTCATAGCACGTTCAATAACTTTTGACATAACCGGTAGAATGCTTATAGGCCGGAGTTCATTCAGATTTTTTGGAGAAGTCACTTTAGGAAGTGGAATTATATTAGCTATTTTCCAATGATTGGGAAACACTGCATTTATTAGACAGAAATTCACTAAGTGAGAAATGTACTCAAGAATAAATGGACAACACATTATCAGGAAGTTGATATGAATACCATCTGAGCCCACCGAGCGGGATTTAATACTATATAGCGATTTACCTATCTCAACTTCTGTAACTTTTTTAAATGTGAGCGGGGTAGATATAGTTTCTTTGACACCTTCGTAATAGTTAGGTAGAACATTATAGTTATTTTGAGGTTTACAATTCACAAAATGTGAGTTGATAGCATTGACATCCGCTATATCTGAAGGAATTGTCGAATTTTTTTTCTTATTGTGTATATTAAGTTTTTTTAGGTTCTTCCAAATACTTTGTGGATCATTTGAATTTGTTAAATAAGAATTTTTTTCCCGCCTGATAGAACTGTTTGTAAGATTATTAATATCTCTATATTCCTGAAAATGCTGTAGATTTTTTGTTTTTTTATATTTTTGTAGAGCTTTATTTTTAATTTTGATCATATCCTTTATATCTTCAGTGATCCAGGGTTTATATGGTTTTTTGAAAATACATGTTTTCTCTGGGGCATGTAGATCTAACAGATTTCGCATATTTTCATTGAAAAAAATTACTTTATCGTCTATGGAATCTATGTCATATATATTCTTCCATGGTTTTGACCTCAAGTGATCATAAAGTAGTTCAACATCAATGTTTTTCATGTTCCTATAGGTAGTTGATATATTTTCATTTGTTGGTATATCGAATATCAAATGAGCAAAAACAAGTTCATGATCACTGATATTAATCAAAGAGAGCGTACCACTGTCTGAAAATTTTCTTTCCTCAGATATTATGATGTAATCTATCAAGCTAGCACTATTTCCAGCAATTCTTGTTGGATTGTTGATTATTTGAGTCAATCCAAAACTTTCTAAAATTCTGGTGAAACTAGAAATTGTAGAATCATGAAAATCGAACATATTCATATTGAAATCTCCCACACATATCAATTCATCAAAAGATGGTGTTAGATCGAGCAAAATACTTTCGAAAATATCATTGAAAACACTGCAATTGAATTTTGGTGGTTTATAAATACATCCAATACAGACCTTGAGAGAATTTAGTTCCAGACTCAACCAAATATCTTCAATATCACCATTATTATTCAGTATGGTGAATGCAAAAGTATTTTTCACATAGAATCCAACTCCTCCCCCCCGCAAACCGACGCCTCTGCTTCTGTGTGTGAAACTGTATCCATCCAATAAAACATCTTCTTCTGAAATAATAGGTGTTAACCAAGTCTCTGTAACTCCAATTATATCGAATTCTTGTGACAAAAAATATTCAGAAAAATCATTGAAATGTGCCAGTAGTGATCTTACATTAATGTGGCAAATTTTCAAATTGTTACTCATATTTCATAATAAATAGTATACTTATGTTTGTATTAATAGAGAGAAAATGTATTGTATGAACAAAAAAAAATAAAATAGGTGTCTAAGTGATATCAACCCTCCAAGTATATTGTTTTTAATAATTATTGACAACTGAAATAATAACCACCATGAAGAGCTGATTGCCATTAACAAGTTCAGAAGTGAATTAACATACTTTGTGGAATTGAAATGCATTAAAATTATAATTATCATAACAAAAAACAAAGTAGCACATCGATACCTAACAGAAGAATTTGTACCCATTATTTATATTTATTAACAAAACTAGATCAATATAAAAGACCAAATGCAATGTAGAGAAATATATACAACACTTTATCAATTTGCAGAACAAAATCATTAATAGAGTGGATCAATATGAACTTTGTTAATAAGAAATATATTATATGAAACAAGTTCAATTCATTTATCTTCGATATTTTTTTGTATTCCTTTCCATTCTTCCTCGGTATGGACAGGAATTTTATTCCCATCAATTTTCAAATACACAACTCCACGTTGTGTCCACGCCGTATTGCCCATAACAGCCTTAACTTTCTTGAATATCTCCAGAGTATCCCGAGATAATTTCTCAGTAATAAGAATGCGCGAGCCTTTCAATTTACTTTTGGCATAAAATAGCTGATCTCGTATCCAACACTGTGTGAATTCAACAACAATCGGCCTTGGTTGTTTACGTTGACTTTTTTGTCCTATCCGATAGCACTGGTTGATGTTAGTTTTTTCGATTTGAATATGCATGATATTCGTAAACACATTCAGGACCTCTTCATAAATATTAGTACTTTTTTCATCTATACCATGTATTACGAGCGTATTCTTATTTTGATCAAGAATCAGATTATCAAGCTTACTTTTATTGGCATCTATTTCTTTCTGCATCGTACTTATCTGGTTTTTTATGTCTCGGAGAGATGATAGCATCTTTTCTTCAAACTTGCGGACAATTTCATTTGTATTAGAGTTGGCTTTCATCCTAGGGCCCGTGTCGCTTGTATCTTCTGTGTATGACTTTTTTATTTCTTCAAGGCCTTTCTCGAACTGTCCCGCTAACTCTTCCACACGAGCATTCAATTCTTTCAAATTTTTCGCCATAATTATCGTTCAGTTTCACAGTTATTATAATTTCAGGTGATACTGCACTTCCCAAAACTTATAACCTTACGAGTTATTATTTCATCTGGTATTTTAGTGTACTTGAGGAGCGATAAGCACACACGTCTACTCGCTACAACGCGACATCTGCCTATCCAAATAACACCGAGAAAATTCAAGAGGTGATTCCTTGTGATATTCTAGCAAATAAAGTTCATATAAACATGTATCCTAACTTGCTCCGTTTTTGAGATACAGGATGTTGAAGTTGGAAGTAGCGATTGTTTCAATTCTTGACCTCCCTGTATGAGCTTTCATGGTGCCAAACTTCAGTATGGTTGGAGACAGAGGAAGCCCCAAAATTTCTAAATGATTGTGATCGGGGTTATTCAGTAATCTCAATGGTAGTCGTGAAAACACCTTCAGTAAAATTTGGAGTCAAATCGAATTTTTATTATTTATTATATACAAAAATTACACAAAGAATAAAAAAGCTGTTATTCTAATAGTTCAATCTAATAAAAATATGAAACTCAGAAGAACCCGTGGAACAATGACTTTTACCATAAATATCGATAAAATTTTTCAATGTGACGCCACTGGAAATATTATTCCGAATCTTATTGCACCAGAAGAAGCTCCATATCACTATTAACAATAAACCACAACGTTTTATTGAAATTGATGGAGAGACAATTGAGAAATAAAATAAAAAACGATTTTTCATGGGAATATTGATACCCTGTATCTCGAAAACGAAGCAAGTGCAAGCACATGTCCATATGAACTTCATTTTCACAAGGAATCGGCCCTTGGATTTTTCTGGTGTTATTCAGATACACCCTGTATAACAGCCCCTTGTCCATGAAATATGAACGTATAAAATTACCGCCAGACCAAATTAGAAGATATGAAGAGAAAGCTACGGAGTTTATAAAGTAATAAAACAAGTGGGAACGTAGTTTTTAAAAGGTATCAGATTAGTATAGATGTAGTTTCCATAAGGTATTAGTTTATTTAGAGGTCAGATAATTTATACGACGCTATGAAAGCAGATTATATTTTATCATTGCTCATGTAAGATGGAAGTAGAGGCCATGGCACCATATCATGAGAATATTTTTACATTGAAACTATCATTGGGCACCAAGGATGTGTATACGACGCTATGAAAGTTCGGAGAACTGGAGATTTTGCCCACAAACTACGTACTTAGCCTACTCGACTGTCTTGGTTTTTCCACACAGTCGAGTGAGCTAGGTACGTAGTTTATGAGAAAAAAATCAAGACACTCGAGTGTGCTTTTTTTACTTTCTCTTGTTTTTTGTTTCGTTTTCTATTGGCACGTGATTATCTAGGAACTTGTAAATTTTTTAGTTTTTTCATCGTATCTCCCGAACTATTGAATTCAGAGAAAAATGTTATGAGGATTTTTTGTAGATTCTATCAAAAGGAATAATTTTGGTTCTATAACATTTTCAGATATTTCCAGTTGTTTTCGAGATATTTGGAATTATCTGAGAATAAAATTTTCAACACTTTTGTTCCATCTTCCAATCAACAAAATGAAAAAATATTCCATGATTCAGTGGAAGTGGATGAGCTTCATCTATCGATAATCTTTGTTTTTCAATATATCTTCATAGTACCCTATGGGTCGTTAAAATTTTTTTTTTCATATTTTTCACTTTATTTCCTGTACTATTGGGTTTACAGAAAAAATTATGGAAAATGATTTGTAGGGAATGTTCCAGTGGATAACATTGCACTCTTGATAATTTTCGATTTTTCCATTTGTTTTCGATATATATTGAATTAAAAAGATTTCAAATTTTGATGTTTGGGTTTTCATTTGTTTTTCCAGTTTCCGATGGATGCACGAAAAAATGATTGAATGATAATTTGTTGCGTCATCAAAGAGGCATACGGTGCATTTCTCAAATTTGGATTTAGTCTATTTGTTCACGAGATATGTCGTTTTGAAGCGAACCGTGTTTTTCGGAAAATCTCCTTGAAAAACCCACTTGGAATTTTCCGACCCTGCTCAATTTCAATAGGCTTCGTCTCTTCCTGATAGAGGTTTTTTTCACAAAAAATGAAATCGATCGGACCACTTTTGCGATTTGTAGAGTGGTTACAAGGAACTTCCGGTGAAAAATCGAAAAAACCCGGAAAAACCACCTTAGAGTTTTCCGATTTCCTTCATATTTTAATGACATAATATTGTTTTGAGTACAATAAGATGGCAAAATTTCAAGTCGATATGTCAAAGGGTTCCGGAGATATATCGATTTATGATTAACACAGAGTACAGACAGACAGACAGACAGACCACACACAAAAACCAAAGTTGCTCAAAATTCGATGGGGATCATTTTCTCCAAAGCAACTATACCTCTATCTCGCTTAGTTTCCGAGATAGCATTTTTGGCACGGCCGTAGTATACTCCACTATGTATAGCGTCGTATAACAAGCTTACGGATATAAACGGGGTTATTACATGACCTGAATCGGAAATCACGATATTCCTGTTTATAGTCAAGACAAACTGATGGAAAAGCAGTGAAAATTCTTAGCGCAATTATTTATTCACGAAAAAGAATTTGGTCGGAAGCATTTCCAGCTGTTTCTCACCAGATGCAATTTTTCATAAGAGTTAAATATAGTTGTAGTTATTAGTCCAATAGTTTTCTGGATTTGTTGATTCCTCCTAACGATAACAAATTCACAAAGATTGATAGCAGATAGTGTATATTCGAACCAGCATCACTACTGGACTGAATTCGAAAATTCTACCTGTTCGAGAGCACGAAACCAGAAAACCTGATCAACATGGATATTTTGATGGTTCCTGATTTTTCAAAATTTTTCCTGACAGTATTATCCGATAGAAAGCATCACAACCATGAAGTCTTCAACATTTTCCATTCCTCATTATTTGCTTATGATGTCATATAAGAATGTATTATCTACCTATCGGTTGAAATTATGATGGATGTCCACCTGATTATAACTCATTTGTGATCATATATTTTCTTGTTCATTCAATTACATGATCGAGAGTAGGTGATAGTTTCCTCGCATGTGCCCATTTGTGATGAGGGAGTAGTTCTTCCGCATTTTTCAGTTTGAGGCTGCCATGAGCTTCTGATACTGATTCGGCTGTTCCTGCTAGCAAGTTGCTGAGGTTTGAGGCTAATTAGTACTCTAGCCCTCGAAAATAGCTCCAGAACTGTGAGTCATTTCAATCCCCCATGGGGGTCCTGATTACCGGCTATATGAGTTTCGAACGGTATCTAGGTTGTGCTTCTGATTTGAGAATCAAAAGACCGCGAAATGTCTATTCTTCCTTTACTCTTCCATCTATTCCACAAGAATTTCGTATAGAATAGATGATGCTGCACACATAATTCTTGTACATCAACAAATTCAGCGTCAAATGGTTCTCTAGATCATCGGGATCAGTCTTGCTGTTCAGCAGATGCCACCCGTCAAAAATAGGCAATTTCCACCAAATTCGCTGGAATGTTGGCAACCTTCAACTCCGAATTTGTAGGCTGGAAATAACTGGTTTAATTTGGAAATGTTGAAAGAGCGCAGTTGTAGAAAATCCGATTATAAATCCAACTTTTTCTCATTCCGAAGTGTTTTCTGAGGCAGCCCAAAGCTGGAATCTGAATCAAAATCTTCTCATACACTTCCTCGCGAATCGTAGTCGATGTAATCAACTCTGCTTGAACCCGAAACTTTCTTAAAGGCACCTGCATAGGTGAACATCTAAATAGTAATAGAGGGTTTGCTTCAGGACAACATTTGATGATCAACAACAACAATTTCAGCCACAAAAAAAAGAAAAATTACATGAAGTCACTTCTTGAAATAACACAGACTCCTGAACGTACCTCTGTCTCCAATCAAATATCAAACTGAATTGAACATTTTGACACAAATATCATGCTACAATAACCACAACCCAAATATTATCAATTCTCTTTTTCTAATTCTCTGAGACTGAAAAAAACAGGCAAGGATCTGATTAACCTTCCTTCATGAAAGATTCTTTCAACAGATTCAGTATACTTCTATTTACCAACAATCATCTTCCAGATGAAATACCTGGCTTCATAAAAAACAAAATTGATAATGTCATTATGTTCCTCAAATCCAACAATAATTCAAGTAGCCACTTCAACTTCAAGAATGAGACTGATGAGAATCTAAGAAGTAGCATTCACAAATTGGATTGCGAAGATCATCAAGCTGTCTATTTTGGTAGAACTTGCAGACCTCTGATGACACGCATGGGTGAACATCTAAATAATAATGAAAAGTCTGCTTTAGGACAACATCTGAAATTCAACGACCACAATTCCAGCCCCGATAGAATTGAAGAGGAGATACATGGAGTTACTTCTTGAAATTACAATAGACTAGTTTTTCTTGACAACCTACACATTGACAAAAAATTACTGAATAACTCTGCATACTGCTTCAATAAACAGGTCAAACAGATCTCATATTTTACTCGGTTGACGGTTGAAATGGAATATCTAATGTATTTAATAAAAAAATTGTTCACTTCATCAGAAATCCTCCTCTTCATATTCAGAATGGCAATTTGAACACAATTTTCCGAAGCAGTTTCTCCAATAGCTCTGAGAACACCGATAGTTTTTCCCGATCTCCTTTTCCTTACTTCAGTATTGGAGGTTACTAGATTTCTAGATTTTCTTGGGAAGAAAGTTCTCATAAGACTCCACTTCCTTTGCAAGTAAAGGGTCGAGAGATGATTCTATCTGGACTGACCCGTGTGTGCCCTCATGATAATTGTTGGGTAACCCATTCGAAGAAATGATGAACCTTCATGCGTCCAAACTTCTTGATTCACTGTGAATGACCGTGGGTAAAGTATGGTACGGGAAGCTTGATGTGAAGCAATTACGCACTCATGGAATTCCCTAACAGCTACCCACCTGCACTATGCGCGATTTGAAAAGGT